TGGTAAGGTCAGCAGAATTTTCAGCAGACTATACTCTTCATTTTGACAGTGCTTTGTGTGCAGATATGGCCTCATCTGAAGTTAACACATCTGCACTTTAAAACCACTGTGTCATTTTTCATCCAATCACTACTCCATGTAAGTGCTAGATTTTAAGCTTTGTGTCAGTCCATAATGCTTTGTTTTGACTGCAGAGTACAGATCCAACTCCCTAGCAACTGTCATACATGAAGATTCACCCATCAACTTTCAGGCTAAGATTTATGTGTAGAATACATTTGTTTGATAATAAAGGATGAGTCAGAAAAGATAACTCAAAAGATGACCCTAACAGAGACTATTTTGGACAAAGTTTGTCAGAAATGTTTCATATCTAATGTTTGTACCAAATGCATATATTGAAAAAATATATATGTAAAACAGAAACCTCTGAAATAACACAGTGGGGTGACAGGATGTTCAAATGTTTTTTCCAGAAGATATCAGACTTTTGGGCTCCATTCTGCAGGTTTTCATCTTAAGCAGGCATACAGACTTCCTGCAGCCCAGAAAACCCTGCAGCTCCAAGTCCCTTCTTCAATCCCATGGCCCTGGTCACACTGTGATTATTCTTGTCTATACTATGTCTATACTATGTCTTGGCCTCCAGCAGAATTTTCCTAATCCCTAACTGCCACCATGGTCTGAGTTAGCTCCTGAAGGGCATTGTAGAATTACCCAAGGAGAGTGTTAGTTAACTGATGCTAAAGCCATAGAAGATACTTACAATTTATCACTTGACATGGTCAAGTGTACATGTGCAGTTTTATTACACATAAAGGCTCTGTCAGAGCCTTACTGCATGAGGCTGTATTTAACTTTTTCTGAGAGTTCTTTATTTCTATAGTCATAGACTTATGTCTTCTATAAGTGTCTTAGGCACGTTTTCAAGGTGCCTGATGGCCTGAACAATCAACTTTGTGCAGCACAACTCCCTGCCCAGTTCGGGAACTGGTTTTGTTTGACTTTTATGAATGCTTTTTCAAGATATGCAATATATATAAAGAGAAAAATAAACTCAGAATGCCAAACCTTTATTGTGCTTATAAGCCCATAGCCTCCAAGACCCTAGTTCAGTCATCCAAGCATCTGCCCTTTATCTATATTCTACTACATTGCTATATATTTTGGTGATTTAATGTAATGCGAAATTCACCTGAAAGAGCTGTTCCACATTTCAGAGAATTTCAACAGTACAGAGAAAATAATGATACAAACCAACCCAGCCCGAGAGAGCTCTCTAACAAGTTAAAAGGAATAATGCATATGCTGGAGAAAAGAAAAATACCTCACAAGAAGGCACAGCAGAAAGCTGCACAAACAGAACTCCTCACTTTCATCTGCAGAATGAAGTATGACATGTTATTATCTGTTTATGCAATGCTACTACTATTTTGGTTGCTTAGTTCCTCCTATCCTAGCATCCTGCTTTCATTTGTACTTTACTTTGTTAATCCTTATCTGATCTGGCTGAAATTTCCTGTGCCGGATATGTGTCTTAAAATGAAAAGTTTTAGGAAAAGAGATTCAATGTTTCCTAGACTGAGATTAGTAGAGTGTGTTATTTTCCCACATTAACAAATTATTCAGCAATAGTTATAATTCAGAACCTATAATTCTTTCAGATTTTTCATTACAAACTTTGATTTTGCCCTGCTGTCTTGATATCTTATTCTTTTAGGGATGATCACCCTTTTATGGCAAAATTATTTCCTCTGTAAAGAACCACTTTCCTCACATAACTTATTCAGACTCAATTAAGAACAGCTGTTAAATTATCCAGTGATTACATCCCTACCAAAGATACTTTGCGCCACAAGGCACCTGTCCGCGCTTATCTTACAGACAAAATGTGCAGAATTTTAGTGGCCATATTGTTTGTAGACATTATCTTGTGTTTTACATGTTTTTAATACAATGTTTAATTATGTGATCCATAGGATGTTTTCTAGGGAGGAGTGAGGCCTGAACGGTATCTCAAGTCCATTATATATAGCACTGGGGTATTGCTAGGGTTGTGCAGAGAACAAAGCTGGTCAATGGGGAAACATTGCCTCAGTATCAGATAGTGATTATGAATGAAGCAAGGCTGTGCAAGAAAAAAAAAATAAACTGGGAGAATTCTGGCCAATATCTGCTTCAGACTTTCTACATGATGCACAAATTGTCCCTCAATCTAAATGTTTCATAGCTCACCATCACCTTATATCCTTATGTCTGGTTGCCCTGCGAAGACTTCAGGCTGTGATTTGCACAACAGATGACCATTTGTACGTGCAGGTAAATGTCAGGCAGAAAGTTGATCTTAAGGTCTCAAGTGGTCAACCCTGAGTAGTAAAAACGTCAAATCATTTTATCCCCAGTCCTGTCTTGTACCTAACACTGTTTCAAGGAAAAGGATGGTTATAGAGAATTCTTACTAGAGCTGGTTGAAAATTTCCCCAGAGAATATTAATTATAAAATATGAATATAATAGTTTACAAGAAAAGGCCAATTCCATCAAGGTTATTAACAGGAATCATGTTGCCCCACCCTGTGTACAATTGTGGAGAATTTATTCTGAAATTGTAACAATAAATTTGGAGAAGTTGAACATAAAGTAATATAAACAATACTGGAGCGCAACTATATCTTATTGTGGTATAGAAAAAAGTACTGTAACTACATTTCAATGGAATTCAATCTTTGTATATTGAATATTTTCAAATAAAACAAATTATTAAAGTAAAATATTTCTTCCATGGTCTGATTTTTTTAGGTAGCATGTGATGAAAGGTGATGTATTTCTTCACAGAATCTGATTTTTAAACTGTATCACAAATGGCAAGACCCTTTCCTTGTCCCAACAGACTGTGCAATGGTCAACAGGTCCAAGAAACATGTTGCCCTCCTTGAGACAGATGAAAAAAGAAGGGTTTCAGAAACCACTCACAGAAACTAATCTTCAATATGTGTCCAGACAGGGCTGGATCAGGAGTCCATTCAGGTACCAGAGCAACCTATTAACGCTGGTTTCAGTAACTGTCCATCTTTTATTCTTATATAAGCAGGTAAAAGATTTCTAATGGTGCTGCTGCAGGTATGATGCAACTCCAGCACGGGATCTGCAAACAAAACACATAAACTCTAATATCACCTGAGTTTCATTGTTTTTCCTACTGAAATGACTTGTAATAATAAATGACTCTCCTTAACCAACCTTTCAATTCATAATAAAGTACCTTGTGAGTCTTTTGCTAACAGAAACTTGTTACTGAAAATTGTTCAGCACTTTTTGAATAATCTATCATTAGAATGTCTCCCACTCAAATGTTATCGTGTTGTGAAGGAATCTGCCTACATGTCCCCCTACTGCATTATTACCTCAAGTTTACCCTTTTTGTTGCAATGCCAAATTAAATTAAAGATTTTATTTATTAAAATCACGTTAAGCCACACTGTAATTTGGGTTAGAACTATGTAAAAAATATAATTTAAACGAAAGCAATACAAAAGTATTAACATTGCTCATCAGTCATTATTTTGAAAGATAAGCTCCATATCTTTCTAATGTCTATGTCTCACTAAATTAAAAAAGAAACACCACCACAACTGTAGTTTTAGAAAGGTTTTATTTAGCAGATATTCATGTTTGGTTTATATTGACATTTTTGTGTTCGCATTTATATAGATCCAGGATATCTGTGTAGTCTAGATTACTCTTTTTTAAAATCTGAGGTTTACCCTTCATATGAACGTGTACATATCTATGCTTGAACTGCACTGAGAAAATTTTAAGGGAATATCTGCACCTTCATTCGTTTCCAGTGGTGTGAATGAATATTACAATAGTCAGTGATGTGAGGAAGGTGACAATTCCCTAACTATACACCTGACAGTATTTATGATTAAGCTAGTTCTGTTTAACAGTTCAATCTGACATAAAGAACAAATCATCATCCTGAAGAGGTTATCAGAAGTGTTTTATTAAACTGAACAGCAAAAAATTTGGATTATTCATCACACTGAACAGCCGAAATGTGGGTTATAAAGACACTACGGTAAGCTCATATACATTTGGATGAAGCTGTATTTTTAAAAAGACAAATTTATTTTTTTGCTTTGCTCTATAAAGAGCTATTATATAGATTTATTAATTACCACAGCATGTGCTCCAATTGAGAGTCCTACAATAAACTATTTAATGATTCTTTTTAAGTGCAAGTATTGGAATAGAGGACATTTTGTTAGGATAACCTACCCGTGGATCTGTAAACTGAAGTTATTTTAACAATATGTCTTTAAAATGCTCTCTTACCATCTGTTTATCTGTATATTATTCTAATCAGTACAGATTTAGAGAATAAAAATTTGTGAATGTATGAACTCGTGTCCTATTTATAGCTCAAAAAGATTGTTATTTGAGTATATTACATAATCTACATAACCAAAGATCAGATTATCATTTTGCTAATGTAAAAAGTATTTTTTCAGTCATATAACTTCACAGAGGAACTCTGAGTATTCAGAGGAACTTTGAGTTCATTCATTGGGAGAGGTCATTACTTGCTTCTTTATGCAGCAGCTCAAAACCTTCTTTTTGTCTAGTCTTTAGGAAGAAATTCTTCACTATGAGGTTGCTGAGACACTGGAATAGGTTGTCCAGAGAAGCTGTGGTTGCCCAATCCCTGAAAATGTTCAAAGCCAGGTTGGATGGAGTCCCCCATGGGCTGCAGTGTGGATTTCTGCTCCACCATGGACTTCACCACGGGCTCAGGGGAATCTCTGCCCCAGTGTCTGAAGCACCTCGTCCCCCTCCTCCTTCACTGTTGGTGTTCACACTGATGCTTCACACCTCACTCCTTCCTGCCTGTGCAGTGTTTTTACTCTTTCTTAAATACATTTCCCCTCAGCAACCCCTCTTGGCTGTGGGCTCGGCCGTGCCCTGCGCTGGGTGGGTCAGAGCCGACTGCAACCAGCTGTGTCCGACACAGGGCAGCCCCGGCCTCTCCTCCCAGAGCCCCCCGCAGCCACCACTCCTGACCACTTAAGGTCTGCCCACAATATAAAGCTCAATAAACAACTTGCATTATTTGTGAGAAACGTAAGAAATAATAATTCAAACACTTCATTTTACTAATTTTTCAGCATGGTTCCAGCAGTTTATTCCACATTCCAGTGTCTCTTGTACTAGATTGATTTGTTGTGGATTTTTTTTCTAATAAAACCACACTCATGGTTTTACTACAGCATTTTTCTACTACTTCACTAGAGCTCCAGGGTCTGAGAAAATTATGGTCTCTCCTAAGAGCTGTTGCCTCTGTTACAAGTCAACAGATAATTTTTTATTATGTGTTGTTCATTGTCATTTTATTCAGCCTAAACTCAGACTGTCCTCAGAGAGGACTATCTTTCTCCATTTGCTGTCCTGGGAGAAAAAAATTAGGTGTCATCAACATGAATCCCCTTAGCAACTCTTCTGGCTAAAGCTGAACTTGCTTGAAAGTAATCTCCATTTGTATGTATTCCTAAAACATTTTCACTGACTCAAAAGGATCGGAGATGGGTTTACTTTGGGCTGTGAATGTTAAATAATATAGCACTGAAGAGGAGCCAGTGAACCCCTAAACTCAGATATGAATTCTTTCTCTCTCCAGAGCACTTTGGTTCCAGGTTGAGACTGTGCCCAGATTGTCAGTTTAGGGCATGAAGATGGTTGTCATCTCCTCTTTGGGGCTCAGGGAAAGAGATGGATTTACTGAAACAGGTTAGTTTCACTGCTAGCAGTTTACCCAAATATTCTCCAATTAGCAGCAATGGGGCACTAGTCATACTGTTGATTTTCTCTCTTACATCAGTCCATTATAGTGGCTTTCAGTCTTTTAAGGCTCTTCACTTTAACACAAGATGTTGGGAATATATTGGGATCAAAAATGTGTGCAATAGGTTATCTACAAGTTCCATGGTTTTGTTTTTTTTTATTACAGACACCTGCTGTGGAAGTTATTTAGCTCATGTAATTCCTATTCTTCTCTTGAATCCATAAGACAGGCATCATCAACTGCAAGGCATCTTCTGGTCACCTCCCTCTGCTGTAGTGCTACTCAGAAGTTGTCCCAACACTGATTGATTCAGGAGTTTGAGAACCAGGTAAGCAAAATGGTGTTGCCTGTCTCAAGCGCGCAGTTCCAAGATCAGTAAATTTTTAAAGGGAAAAATGAAGAAAAGGTTTTCTACTGATTTCACCAGGAACCACAATTTTACCCTCTTAACCTCTAGGTAGAATTTCAATATGATTGCCATACACTGTTTTGAAAATAACATGTATAATGCAATTACAATGGTCGTCAGAATGGTCAAGGGATGTTTTTCTCTTAAGCCACTATTTTGAGGTTTTTATAAATGGAAAATTATTGCTTGCTTGGATGACCTTTATTCAAGTATGTTTTCATTGCCAAGGTTATTTCTTTTCTTTGAATGAAGAAGGAGTTTGATAAAGTTAAATGTTTCTGGTTTACAACTATCTGAGTGGGAAAAATGACAGTTTCATGCTTTGGAAAAAGAAGTTGAGATGCTTATTTTCTCTGAGTACTGCAAAATGACTTAAATTTTTTTTCAGATTTGTCACTCACGGAAGAGTAATTACTTTTCAAAGAAAAGCTCTTTAAGGAAAAAAACATTTTTGCTTGAAAACAACTTAAAGGACAAGATGGAACAGGGCCCTCAGTTTCCAAAGGGAACCAGATATGTTTTTAGTGGCATAAAATGCATGTGTATATATATGACTGAAAATAAGTTCTTTATAGTATATATTGGTTTGCGGTCAATCATCCTGTTTTATAACTTTAGAACCATAGAAGGCAGAGTTAATAGGGAAAACAATTGTACTTGAAGTTATCTCATTTTTCTTATTATAATAACTTGCCTTTTGTTGTGTATACTATACCTAAAACATTCAGGTTGACACAGCCTGACTCATCCCCAGAACACAATCTAGCTCCTGTCCAAAATTAAGTAAGAATCCAGACACAATTATGATAATGTAACTATGTAATATATAATATTATTAAGACTATTATATCAAATTATTAAGGTTATCAATAGTAAAAGCTACCTCTGTTCTAACCTTTCCTATTTTCTGAGTTTTCTACTTTATAGTCTTATCAATCTTTTATCACTCTTTCAATCTCTACCACAATGACACATCTTTCTATCTAAAACTTACTTTCAACTGACAAAAACATGTCACTGAAATTCCATCCCATTAAAGTCAACGGAATATTTTCCATTACTTTCACTGACTACACTGATTCATTGGCAATGAATGCAAATAAAAAATAAGCAACTTCACAAGACTTTTGGTAACCTTCTTCCATCTTACATCATGTCACCTCTCTCCATATCAAGTCATGTCAAGTTTACCAAGATAAGACTGGGACAGTTTAAGTGCTAAGTATATAATGGATTTCAAGTTTCTGAGAAGCAATGTTGCTTAATTCTGCCAGTAAAGTATCTTATCCATCTGCAGTACATTTTATAAAGATATGAAATGACTGTTCCATACACACCACATGTTCCTTACAAATATATAACTCTCCATTTAAATGCAAAACTTCACTTTGAGAAAAACAAATTCTGACTTTGGTTTTTTACTATTTCCAAGATAAAGCATAATGCAGAAGATTATACTTCCCTCAGAGAAAAGCAATTCACTCTTATCAAAGTCATTTCGGTAGAAAAATCTAAGTGATCAAAACCAAAGGACTAAAAAAAAAAATACTTTTAATCTACCCGAGGACCACATTCAGCAAAGAAACTAATCACATGCTAGCACTAAAAAAAAAATAAATAAATTGGCAAACATGCATAAAATTTCTTATGCTCAGAAATATTTTGATGAAACAGAAGCACAGTGTTATTTTAGCCTATGTAAATTTATACACTGAAGTTATTATGGCCAAAGAAAATGTCCCATGGTGGAAGTTATTAGTGCTTGGCTGTTGCAATAGAAAATTGGCAACAGACTTAGAGCTGCAATAATAGCCACGAAATATGCAGCTAGGCTCCAGTTTTAAACTGCATTAAAATAAAGTAACTCTTACTGGACAAAATTATGAGTAATTTTTCTGATACCTGTCTGTCAAAGGTACGAATGCACTGTTCACAAAAATATAATCACTTCTATGTAAATGACAGTATCCACTTTGTAATCACTTATTCTCCCATTTATTTCCTTTTTATGCAACAAACACATATGAAATATTGTGATAGCTGTTTTAAGTTTCTTATGTTCTACATGATCGTTATATGTGCTTTTAAATTGTCTCCAAGTTTTATTGTATCAAAGTGTTTTGATAGATGTAATTCAATTTAGACTCTAGAAGAAACTCTTTAAAGGGAATAAACCTAATACCAGGTTTAGGTGGTTCTTGAACACCATATTGAGGAGGTATTTTATTGGTATGATTATCACCTTATTTTCCTTGGCAAACTCATGCTTTATCTTTATAGAGAGTTTGTTAATCAAGTGAAACCCTCATTAAAGCCAACAAATCAGTAGTGTTTAAGAAACACTGAATAGATTTTTTAAAAGTCTCAAAGAAACCCAAGTCTGCTGCTGACAGAAAGGTTCAACTGTTTTCCCTCCAGCTGACCCTAAAGGCAGTCAAAAAATACAGGTTCTCTAGTTAATATGAAACCTGGTACTCCCAATCTGAATACAGTACAAATGCTTGAATGCATAGAAAGATTATTAAAACAGTTTTGTTTTACTGCACAGGCGTTAGCAAAGTCTTTTTGATGTAAAGCAAACTCCAATCAACTTCTGTCAACCCCAAGCAAAATATACCAGTAAATGTACCACGTAATCACCAGCATGGAAATGTAAATGCATTAAACAATAGTTTTTCAGTCAGTGTCTTTGGGCCTTAACTTGACTTCTGGAAAAGGAAGAAACATGGGCCAAAATCAAAGAAATTCAAGACTATGACCAATTTTTTTTGTCAGTGAGTAACAGTGTTTATATGACTACCTTAGACAGTTTGTTTAAATAGGATATTCAGGAACCACTAGATCTTTCTGCATTTTATCAGACAAATTCTCTTTAATTACTATGAATTAAATATTGATCCCTTTTCATTCACTCTTTTGCCTGAGTGAAATGCGTGTGTATCTTAAGGTGCCCAGTGTTTCAGAGCCTCTCAGCCTGACATGGAAGGAAACTGAGTATCAAAACCCTATGAATAAACTATGACCAATCTCTACTAATAACAGGAGTTTAAAGCAAGTTAAAGTAAGGAGGGAGTATTCACACCACATAGTATTTAGGGACCTCATCTAACAGTCTAGATTCTGTGTATAGCCAGAAAACAAAGCAGGATGCCAATTCCTGCTTGAGCCCATTAGTGATCCAGGCTTCTAACTTCAGCTGTGTAATGTGGCTGGTACACCTTCAAAGCATAAAGTAATCTTAACTGCAAGTACTACAGCCACTTCCATAAGTAATATTTTGAAGGTATTAGAATAAGCAGATTTAAAGGTATCAGAATAATCTCTTTGATGTATAGCTCATTAAATTTGCACACAAGTTTTTAGGGAAGATGGGTCATTTTAAATCTATATTATTACTGCTCTTAGATTTTGGTTTTCTGGGTCAATTTTAAAATCTACTGAACTAGTGTGAAAATTCTCATTTGATTTTTCAAATATCCTTCTTTTTATTTTTTTCTCCCAGGTCTGAAGGACAGCCATGCTGGCCATTCAATAATGAAGTTAGCCAGACATGGCAACTTCAAAAGATAAGAGAATCCTGCTAGATTTTTTGTGGAAGATCTATGTAATCAGATGAAACAGAAGAGTAAGGGAAAAAACATACCAGATCTTAAAACTTGGTACCAAGAGTACCAGGGAACTCTTTGGCATTTTAGTTCACATTCTAGAGTAGTGGGATCTTCTGCAGCTGCATATAAAGCAGATCTGAGGACTAAGAGGCTAAGCTTTCCACATTCTCTCACGTTGTCTAATTTTGTGATATTAACTGTGGATAAAATAAAACTTTACTGTTTTTACTGGCATATCGGGTATTATAGGTGTTCTGATAAGTACTAAAATGTATATTTTAGTATATCACTGAAGCTATACCAAGTGACATTTTTCAATGGAGATCTTTAGGACAGACAAATGTATTTAGGATAATATTTTCAACATTAAAAATAAAAGTTCAGTGAAGACTATGGGATTTGCAAATGTTAGAAGTCAATGCTGAGCATTGTGGAACTTGTAATGGTATTTTAAATAGAAATCTGTTAAACATTCCAGTCATCTTAGTTTTGAGATTTGTATAATGGTATGTCTCTGAAGTTATCTGCATTTTGTGACCCCCAACCTGGGTCCCTTTCCTTTCAGTTTTCTATGAGATAATTGCATGTCCATGAGCACAAACATTTTTCCAAAAAGATTTCCCAGGAGTGTTCCCCTTTCCTTTCTCCCCTAGAATATTTGGGAAAAGTGCTATTTTCTTGAGATTTTGGTTTTTGAAAAATGCAAATTAAATATTACTTAATTTTTTTAGGAATGATCTGTCTTTTGACAGACAAAGATTCTTTGATGTGTTAATTTTTTTGGCTATGTTTGTCTTCCTACTTACAAGCTCTATTGAATTATAACATCTTTCTTTCAAGACAGTGTCATTTGCATTTATTATTCTCTGCTAGCTTTGGCTGTGGTAGAGTTACCTTTCTTGACAGTGGCTAGTATGGGGCTGTTTTTTGGATTTGTGCTTAACACAGGTTTGATAATCCAAAGATGTTTTTGTTATTGCTGAGCAGGGCTTTCACAGGGCCAAGGCCCTTTCTGCTTTTCATACTGTCACTCTGGTGAGGAAGTTGGGGGTGTTTTCATACTGTCACTCTGGTGAGGAAGTTGGGGGTGCAAGGAAGACTGGGAGGAGACACAGTTGAGACAGCTGACCCCAACTGACCAAAAAGATATTCCATACCATGTGACATCATGTTCAGTGTATAGAGCTGAGGGGAAATGGGAGGAGGGGATGTTTGAGTGATGGCGTTTGCCTTACCCAGTAACTGTTATGAGTGATGGGGTTATTAAAAATAACCTGCATAACTTTGCAATAGTCTTATAATATC